ACAATAATAAATCTTCGTAAAATTAAATTTAACTTTTTACTTGAAAGGTTATTAACCTTTTTTTAATCTTAAATTTATTTCAAATTTATTTCAAATTTATTTCAAATTTATTTCAAATTTAGTTCAAATTTAGTTCAAAATTGTTTCTACTATACTATGCACAACGTCTTGGACTACTCAAGAGCGTGCATGAAGAAAAGAATTCAGTAAGAGATGCATTAAAGAGAGTTGTACATATAAATTAAATAATTAAGTAAATCTTAAAATTCTTATGCATAAACATTTAAAATTATAATTTGGATATAAAATATCTATTGCTAAAAATTTTTAGTCTTTTCATATGTTCATAAAAAAATCTATTTCTTATGAGATAATAAGAAATCTATTTCTTATGAGATAATAAGCATAATTTTTTGTAAAAGAAAAGGTTGATTTTAAAAAGGTTGATTTTTTGTAAAAGAAAAAGTTGATTTTTATTTTTTGTAGATAATTTAACACAAGTTAATGTGCTTATTTAAAGCCTAAGAATAATCTGGCCATATTCCTCCGTACTTATACATTTCAACGGAGTCATGAGATACCCGAAGCGAATTAAAGGAATTAAAGGCGAACCCATCATGTAGCATTTTTTCTTCTGCAGTAGACGATGATGGTGGTCTTATTGGTCGTGTTGATGGTGGTCTTATTGGTCGTGTTGATGATGTTCTTACTTGTGATGTGTTCACGCGTGAAACCGATTTACGTAAGAGACGTCTATTACGTTTAGTGCTTTTGTTGGATCTTGAACGCGAATTGTTATCAGACGGCATTGTTGGAATAAATAATTTTCAAGAAAAATTTGGCTTCATTTTTATATATGCTGGAAGATAACACAGTAAGCTTCCTGATAATACAATTGTTTACATTGTTCTTATACTATTAAAAATATAACACTCATTAAAGTTTATCGACGGTAAAAAATATCAATTACTGTACCATAACTAAATGTTTATCTGATACGTATATAAATTCGGATGCCATTACTGTATTATGGACCATTGTCATTACTAATTACAGTTTATATTATGATCTTTTTATATTATCGTAACTAAGTTACGTCATTTGCCGACGCCATATTCGCTATAATTTATCAAATTTATCACTTGAGTGAATTTAAAATTTTCGCATGCACGCATATGTATATACTGTAAGTACGCAGTTGTATGTTTTGAGCGTTCGGGTGTCCGCGGACAGTTTGACAAATGTTCATATCCTTATCTTGTTTCCAACAAATATATATATATATATATAAATTAATAACAAAAGGTTTGAAATAGTAACGTTTTTGCTTTGATGAAATTTGTTTTGCTTTGAAATTTGTCGGACTGTCCGATAACAATTAGTATTTCGATCTTCTAGTGTGATATCTAATCAAATTCTCCAAGGTTGAGTACGCATACGTACGTACGTACGTATGTAAATTCGAATTTAAAAACGTTTTTATTTGTTAATGCATTTTAGCCGCCATTTTGATTTTAAAATGTAACACAATTTGATGTAAGAAATCTCTCGGTTAATCAAGATATGTAAACAATATAAAATTATTTTCGTATTAAGAAAATAGCGGAGACATTTTACACGAGCTCCACATCAAAAAGTACTGGCATGTACAAAAAAATATTAATTCATCTCTTATCTGAACTATAAATCTCTTATCTATATTATAAATTATAAATTTCACGATTAAGGTTCCAGTTCGTGTTTAAAATCTCTTTCTAAATAAATTACCTTTTTGACTACAGTATATATAACACAACAAATGTGGTACGTATACAAAAGCTTCTATCGCTATGATCGTCAAATTGTATTATGACGATTTAAAATTAGGCTTAAAAATTATGCTTAGCCCGCCTCCCGCTTTCTTTTGCGCTACCTTTTTTTTTGTGTCCAAATAAACGTGATATCAGTTGGTTTTTTGGTGCAAACTCGTGATGTCATACTGTTTGGGCCACCACCCTAAACCGTTAGTAAAGCTACCAATTACATACTAGCGTTATTCTTTTGAATCCAAGCGATACCAACAATCGAGAACGTATTCACATGTTCTCAAAATTTTAGACTTTTTTTTTAAATTGATTTTTTTCTAAAAAAAAAACATAGTCCAAAACAAATATTGAATAAGAAAAGCTCCCGAATCAACATTTACTTTATACAAATTGTAAAACGAATTGTAAAACGAATTAATTTCAAAATATATTTTCTAAATGTAATCATAGATAAAAAAAAAAACGCCAATTAACCAATTATGAAACATGTACTAAACTTTCGCATTTAAATATTTACATTTAGGTTATTGGCTTGACGCAGTTTTTCCTTTATGTATCTATATATTTAATTTTACTTTATTTATATTTTGTAATAAATGAGAATCCAAATACTTAAAAAGATAAATCGTATCGGTATGATGTATTTTGCATGCGTCAAATTTAAAATTAAGATTATGGGGTTGAAATCATGTGACACGCACAAAGTATTGTGTCTAGATTTTATTCGTAAAACTTGAAGAAAAAATTTTTTTAATTCGGTTAGAACTATAAGAGTTAATTATAAACTTTAAATATTGTACATGTTCTTTAGTATTTAAAGATTCTTTATATAAAGTCAAAAGACTGATCCAATATTAATATAAAGTATTATAGTTATCCGATAAATCATAGATTTATTCTTTTGTAATCATGTTTATTTTAGGGAATTGATATTTTCACCCAAAAACTCTAATAATCTATATGGATTTTTATTAACAGTGGTGTGGTAATATCAGAAAAGGGTGTGGAAATATCAATCAATTTCCTTATTTTAACGACTTGATCATGATAGACGTTTTAATGCTTTCAAAGCTTTGACCGAAGATATCTCAGTAACCACCTAGCTAAATTCGATGAATTTTTTTTATTTTGATTCTACAGAATAGTCGAATCAAATAAAAATATTTATTGAATTAAGTTGGGCGACCATCTGGATATCTTTACTTTAAATTCTATAGGATATTATGCATCAAGAACACTACCTAAATTTAGGGCATATGAAACTTTTGCGTTTGGTTGACTGCCGCATGAAAAATCCCGAAAAAAAAAATAATTTTATGCATTAACCGATCGCATTTAGATGAAAACCGTTACTTATACTAAAAAGGTTTTTATAAAAAACGATCAATAAAAGTTGAATGGAATCATCTCTCTTACATTTCATATTACACATTCGTACTGATATAAATAATACGCAAAAGTTAATAAAATATAAAGAATATCTCGTTGTTCGGTAATCAAAATCTAAATATCATTTCAATTCGTCTCATAAAAAAAGGGGACGGAGGCAAATCATGTGATCAACCGCCAATCAAATTATAGAATTTTGATGATCGCCGGCGAAGCAAACCAAAAAATA